GAAGAGTATTTTTTTCTCTCCTCTTTCATATTCGGTTTTCTCTGCCAGTTTCACACTGAGGATAATCATCTTTGCTCTTCTTTTCTCACTTGTATTTGCCAGAAATTTTTTATCTTTGCATTTTCACCCTTTTCACGGGAGAAAAGGAAGGTTTAACAATTCATCCTATTTCATATTTTTCCCTCAGATTCTTAGCTCCTAAGCCTTGCTATGCATGGGTATGTCTCCCTTTCTGCAGATTGGAAGGAGTTCAGATTTTTTTACTCCCTTTCACTTGTGCCAAACTTTTATCTGCAGCATTCAGCAATGCAAGAGGCATGGTTCAATGTCTCCGTCTTACCCAATATCATCGTTTAATTAGCCTATTTCAAAATAGTTTATTTCAAAATAGCAGCAAACAATTTTCAACCTTGCCCTCCTTAAGAGACCAGTATTTTTCCAAAGGTACTTCCCTTGCTTTATTTTGTCCTTTTCTGAGGGCAGAGGGACAGGCAAAATGACAAGCTGACAAGGTGAATAATTTGCGAGAACTTCCTCACCTTCCCACCCATAGACTATTGTTCCATTAAGAACGCATCTGCATTGTGTACAGTAGCTGTCATGTTTTACTTTTGTGCAAATGTTTTTGCACTTACGATAAATGTTAATTTGTTTAAATGTGTTGTGTAAATACAGAGTGTTGTGCTCTCGGTCAGACTTTCTTGAAACAAGAGTCATTAGGGTAAATTACTAGTGTTATGAGTGCAAATTTATTGTCTTCTTGAGGGGATGTAGGGTTTGGTAAGTTGAAGAAGTGAAATTCTTTCTATTATAGGTGTTTTATACTGAAATTAAATCTAAATCCTGCTATGGTAGTGATATTCCTCATAGCTCTTTTAATATAATTTTTATAACCACTTATTCTTTAACTCTTCCAGCTGTCCATTTACAGGAATCTACTCTGAAGGAGTTGGCACAGGTGGCACCATCTATAAAGGAGCAAAGTGTAAGCAGTACACAAATGGATGAAGTAACTCCTGATGCGACTACTGGGACTACTGCCAGATCAGGATTAAGAGTAGCTGAGTCTGCAGGACAAGGTGAAGAGGAGAAATCCAAGCTAGAGAAAGAAAGTGAACATGAAGATGAATCCAGCAGTCTATCTGACAAAGAGACAGGTTCTGGAGAACATTATCACTTGCATCTTTCCAGCTGCCGTGAATGCCTGCAACTTGAAAACAGTACTATTGAATCAGTCAGATTTGCCTCTGCAGAAAACATTCCAGAACTTTCTGATGATTGCAATAGCAAACTGGAAGAGATGAATGATGACTGTCTGGCAAGAGGAATAAAGAGAGTAAACCTTGCTGGAAAGCCCCCTAATGTATTGATTTATCTTGGCTCTGAAACTGCAAAAGTGGAATTTGAGCAGGTAAAATCAATCCTTCAGGAATGCATCGATACAGACAGCTACACCATTTACCAGCTGCATGAGGAACAAGTTCTGAAAGCTCCATGGATTGATAATTCACTGCTACTGATCATTGCCACAGAGGAGCCTATTTCAGAGGAGAACCACAAACAATTTATGAAGTTTTTATCTAAAGGTGGAAAGATTTTAGGGTTTTCTTCATCTTTTACATTTGATGGCATACAAATAAAGAGAAAAAACAAACTGAAGAGGACTGTTCATGAATTAGTGGTCTCTAAAATGGACAACACTGAAATTAAGTTAAATCTTTTGGTCAGTGGCTGTATTTTTGAGGAAGTGATGAAGGAAGATACCAGCAAAGTGAAGACATTGAGTCGATTAAATAATGCTGATAAAGATATAGTTATTGTTCATCTGACTTACGGAGACAGTGGAGGAGAAGCCATTCTTTCTCAGGTACTGTGTATGCAGAAGCATTCGTTTACTCATTGCTACATGATGTTGTGGTATGCCAAAAAGTTCATTTGTTCCCTTTGCATGCTCTTGGGGATACTTGTCAAAGGGAGGTATAGATCGATGTGTCAGAGAACGTACAAGGAGTCTGAATGCAGAATGGTTTTCACTTGATCCTCAGGAAGCTTGAAGAATGGTAAAGAATGTCACTGTAGTTCCACTTGTTTTCGCCATATTGCCGTCTACATGTAGATCATGGAAGGTCACAGTGAGTGGTAGAGGAGAGGGAAGATTGGCATAGTAAGCAGGCATCTTCAAGAGCAGAGCTATCCTTTTGTGCCTGCTACAAGTTGTGCAGTGGTACAACAGTGCATTTTTCAGATTTTGGGAGGTGGGAACAGGAAGAGCTGAGCCATTGGTGGACTCGGGGTGAAAGCTTGTACTGGGAAGATTAAAAAAAAAAAAAAGTCCTTTTAAAAATATGAGCTGTGGTGAAGCAGAGAGTCAGGAGAGGATGTAAAATAAATCTTGCAAGAAACTTGAAAGACATCTTCCCTTAAAGTTTAAGGTTAAGGTAGCCAGCACTTCTGGAAATCGGGCTAGTGAATGAGAGAGTCCCAGCCTCTATTACTTGTTGCATGCCACGTCTAGAAAAACTGCTGTACAACTCTTGCTTGAGCAAGTAACTACATAACAAAGGTTAGTCTCTGAAATGCCATTGATTTAGGTTTGTTGGTTCTTTTATTTTGCTAGTGTTGCTACCATTTTCTCAGTTATATTCTCTTTGTATCTTAGTGTTGGGAATGAAGCAAACCATTTTATGGTTTCTTCAGCAGTGTTTTGATTAAGGCTAATTTCTAGATGGATGATGTTCATGCCATTGATCTTGCTGTTCTGTCATTTAAAAAAAACCCTTATTCAACTGGAATGCATTTTTTCTATTCACTATCAAATTTAAAATTCTAAAACTTGTTTTTCATTTTCTGAACCTTGACATGTTTTCAGTCAGTAATATATGCTCCTATTTTTTGTTTTTTCTTTGGGTGGAGCGGGGTGTGGACAATCTAGTCTGCTGGAAACTTGTTTTTTTGTTTCCTGAGTCTTTCTCCAGGCTATAAGCTTTTAACTGTTTAACATTCTGCACCTAACAAATAGCGCAGAACACCTGGAGGACAGAAATGAGGAAGTCTTGAATGAGCAAAAATCTTATTCGTTCCACTTAAGAATAATGATATCCCTGCAAATAGATACCTCTCCAGTGTTACAGTATTGTAATCTTAGTTAAACAAACAAACAAACAACAACCAAGCAAAATCCACACCTCCTCAGAGTTAAGCAACAGATAAGTTCAAGTATTGATAATCTTTTTTTTTGTTATTGTTACTCTGTTTTTCTGGATAATGGATGAGGAAGCTTCAATGGCTGTGTTAAAGGTAAATGTTGATCACTGATTATTTAAATATTCATAGATATCTGGCTGAAGTTTCAAGTGATAGAAAGGCTCATAAGAGGTACCATTAAGTTTAGAAAATAAGTCTGTACCCTGGAAGTATATGTCCACCTGCGTGTATAACCTGTGCCATTAAATCTAAAGAGATTTCAGCCATTTCATAGTTAAACTTTTAAAGTGACCCTGAAGGCAACTTGCACATTTTGAGTTAGCCTCAGTAGAAGCAAAGGTAAACATTTTATTTTTAGCATGGCTGTTCACAATTACATAATTTCCATTACTCTGTCTTTGCTTTCAAGCAGCACATTGAGAAAAGCGGAGCAAGATTTGTTTACCAGTATTGAAGTAGATGAGGAATATAATGGAGACATAGCTAAAGAATCTTTACGAAAGATTCTAGGACCTATTTTGACCAATATTTTAGTTACAGGAGAACTTTCTCAGGAATCCAGAGCACTCAAATTTAACTGCTCACATATCGCGTAGCATACACTCTTCTAGCAATGATGCAATTCAGAAATATTCATCAGGCTTCTTAGAAGTGTTTTTTTCTCTTACCAGTTTATCAGATTAAAACTGCTAGCTTTTTGGAAACTCTGTTATACATAGTAGCATGTTTATAGCTTTTTGTAGGAAGCTTTGCCACCCATGTGCTGTATGCTTGTACTAGAAAATTGATTAGACACTGTTGCTATCCATTTCTGCAAGTTCCATGGTAAAACCTGCTTGCTGTACTGTTTAAATTGACCCTTTTGCTGTAGTAAAACTTAATACTGCAGAGGTTTTCCCCAGAAAAAGGGCATTACGGTATAGCTTCAAAAATCAGATTAAAAGGATTAGTGTGTCATTTTATAATTTTAAATGACTTCCAGTCTGGATTTGAAAAGCCTTATTGTTTTCTCTTCAGGGGACTGACAGTGACATCGGCTATTAAATATTCTGTCACAGAGGTTTTTTTTCTCTTTTTTCTGTACTCTTCTGTTCTCCCTCCTCCATTTCAGCATATTTCCCTGGATTTCAATAAAGTAGATCTTATATGAAAGAGGAAGAATATCATTAAAACCTGCAAAATTGGAGAAATGAACAAAGATAATAGCTTGTGATTTTCATTAAATGAATATGCGAATAGTAGGGTACAAAGGCTTCTAAATATCTTGGAACACTTATTTATAAACAAACAAAAAACACCAAACACAAAAAACCCACACCAAACAAACCAAAAAGGAGGTCTAGGAAGAATTTTTTTTTTCTTTTTTCCTCCATTTCTGTATTTCGTTTTTTAAGCATCTGCTTCAGCCCTGAGAAGTGGTTCTTTACAAGGTGATGTTCTGGGGTTCTTAGTTCTCTTTCAGGCAAGCATTTTTTTTATCTATCTGCACTGCTTGCAACTTAATTCATGTGACACAGTAAGGACTTGCTCAGCCTGAGTTCTGCGTATCTTGTGCAACTTCTGACAAAGCTCTTTCAATTTTAATGTAATTCTACTCTTGTACAAGCCAGAATATGACCAATATTGCTGTTGGTTCTAGGTTGCCAGGAGACATGAAAAGCAGAAGGAGAAGTTTAAGTTAGTAAATACAAGTTTGAACAACTCCTCCAGGAGAAGACCAGTTTGTTAACAAGGAGTATTCTGTGTAGGTTTCGGAGAAAACTTTAGTGTACTGGCAACTGTGATAACTGAATTGGAAAATATAAATATATAGATATTCCCTAGTTTGTTAGGATAATAAAGCCCTACTTGTGTAGATATGATGAAGACATGAGAAACTTTTAAATTGCACTAGTAACATTGGATGGTTCAGCAACTACAGTCAGAAGAAAGCTGCTTTTGGAACTGTTGTGTTTATCTCTCTCTGCCAGGCAAAAATGTGTAATACCAACAAAATATTTTTTTTTTATTATTCCATTTGCACATATCCTGGCAGGCACACTTGGAATTGGATATTAATTCTATGGATGTCCAAACTGAAGAGGATTTTAATTTGCTGAAGATAAGCAATACCAAGAGATACGAAGTTCTCAAGGAGATCCTGATATCACTTGGCCTGAGTTGTGAATTGAGTGAAATTCCTATGTTAACACCTGTTTACCTTCTCTCTTCTGATGAGGTAAGGCTTCTGCTTACATTTCAGTTGTTTGAGATTTACCCTACAAGACCAATTCAGTGTTCGCTTAAATATGCCTTGTTTCTTATGTGGTATTTTTGTTTGAAGAGGTTTATGTATGTGTTACAGGTAAGCAAAAAGTTTAATTTCTACTCTGTTGCTATTTTGTTAGCTGCTAGTAGTAGTTTTGAATTTAACCACGGGGAAACTGTGCAGAGTTAACTTTTCAGATATATTTGCTCTATTTCTGTTAAGAACTTTTATACTTATTTGCATGCTTCTGCAATACCAAAGCACAAGGCTGTGGTAAGCTACAGGAAGAACTGATTTAAAAGACAGGATTTGTTTTTCTTTTAAAATGAGGTAGAAAGTTCTGTATAGGCTAAGCAATAAAGATCAAACCCAAATTATGGAGAATGATGTTGTCGTGGGTTAGGCCGCTCTGGCAACCAAAACCCTACACAGTCGCTCACTCCCCCACCCCCAGGGATGAAGGAGAGAATCAAAGAAGAAAAAGAAAAGAGACCCGTGGGTTGAGATAAGAACAATTTACTACTACCGCTACCAATATATATATGTATGGATATGTACAAGGATAAATATATACAAACGAGTGGTGCACGGTGTAATTGCTCACCACCCCTTGACCGAGGCCCATCTCGTCCCAAAGCTGCAATCCCGAAACAGATGAAACCCGATACCGCAATCCTGGATGAACAGGAGGCCCCGAGACAGAGAGTGAGAGAGAGAAAGCAGTCTGAGAGTCCGAAAGTGAGAGTCCTGGAAGGGCAAAAAGCCCGTCTTTCCGGCTGACCCTCACTTTTATACTGGGCATGACGCTGCATGATATGGAATACTAATTGGCCAGTTTGGCCCTCAATCTTAAGTCCAAGTACAAATCGTAAGGAGAGTCATGGACCCCCTGTCCCGGCTATACTCCCCCCTTATCCTGTTGTGCTCCTGCACACTGGCAAGAACACGGTAAGCTGAAAAGTCCTTGAGACCTCAGTGCCAACTACAAACATCAGCTTGCTATCAACATTCTTCTCAGAGCGAGCCTCTGAGTAAAACCAAAACACGGAGCTCTTCTAGCTGCTAAAAAGAAGAGCTAACTCTGTCCTAGCTAAAACCGGGACAGATGTGGCAGACCAAAACTGAAAGACCTGAGTCGATGGGGAAGGGTGTGTGATTACACAATGAAGAGATTTATTCCTGATGATGTCGTAATAGTTCCTGGAAATGGGATAGCTTCTTGTAATTCAAATAGTCAGCTCACTGTTCTGGACTTCTCAATTTGAGACACTGCTATGAAGAATTGTGAAGAACATACAAAGCAGTAATTTTAACTTTTTTTTAAACATGTCTTCAAGTATATGAGAACCTTATTATATTGATCTGAAGAGTTGAAGCTGTAGGTGATTAAAAAGCAATACAGGCTACTCAGGCTCTTCAAGATTGTTGTTTCCAACCCATAGAGCACTATCACTACTTGCTTTTAGCATGCTTGTCTGATTCCTGCACCTTTTCTGTATCATCCTTACATTAGCACAGAAATGAGGTGTCTGTCTTTAGGGGAACTCACCTGTAGAAGCTCCTCCTTGGATGTGTTTTTTCTGGCAGTATCATATATAACATCCTTTCTTGGCTACGGGATCAATCAATGGACAAAGTGACATATTACAGCTGAATGTTTTTAAATAACTTGGATGATGTTTTAGATTTAGATTGTACTTTTCAAAGCACTGTTGATTAATCCAGAAGGTGGGTGTGATAAGCATAGCACAATTTATAGATTTGGAATGTGTGATACATGACTTCATTGTATGGCAGACAAGTCAGTAGCAGATCCAGGCAAACCGACTAAAATACTATAAATAGATGTATCTGTAAATTCAAATCTGCGTTTGTTTTCTATTTCTTGGAAGATACTGCCAAAACTTTCTACTGGTGCATAAAGTAATGCCCTTGTATAGCAACTCGGATTCCATGTAACAATTGGTCAAAATTAGGCAAAATGCAGAGAGCTTTTTTTTATTCCTCTCAAATGATTGCCCTTTTATACTTGCCAAACTCTGCCAGATCCACCTCCACTTTACGATGATGAAAAGGCTATTGGAAGTCCTTCTGTCCAGCCATCTTCTTGAAGCAGGGCTATTGCTGACACTAGATCAGGTCAGCCATGCCCTTTGTCTGGTTGAATCTTGAAAACGTCCAAGAATGCATGCTACAACCTGTCTGTGCAACCTATTCCAGTGCTGCTGTACCATTCCAGTGAATTTTTTTTCCTGATGTCCAGCCTGAACCTTTCAAGCTGCAATTTATGGCTGTTCATGCTTTACTGTATGATCTGGTACTACTGAGAAGCATTTGGCTCTGTCATTCTTTTAACTCTCTTAAGTAGTTACAGGTTATTATTAAACCACTCCTTAGCCTCTTTGCCAAACTGAAAGAACTCAGCTTCCTCATCCTCTTCCTATGGGTGTGTTGTGTGCACCTAAACCCTTTGTGGTTGCTTTCCAAGGAATTCTAATTAGCAATTCCTTGCATAAGGTGAAGTCAGCTTTCCTGAGGCTGAACTCTCTTGCTTCCCTTCCTAGCCTTCCTCCAGATCTTGGATTCTCATGGTTGCTACAGCCAATGCTGCTGTCTGTGACCAAATTTAAAACAAGTTCTTCCCTGCCTGTGAGCAGTAAGTTAATAAGAATTGATTATCTCTTTGTATGACAGATGTGGAAACAAAACTAAAACTCATTCAACCTTTTTGACTAATATTAAATGTGCTCTATACAGAAGACTAGGAGTTTATTGAACTCATTATTTTTTGTTCTTTTCCTTTGCTCTTTTTTGATGATTGGTTCTTTCCTATGCACTTGCAATTTTCAAATGTACTGTGATGTTGTGATTTAACCCGGCTCGCCGCTAAACACCACTCAGCCACTCCCTCCCCTCCCCTCCCCTCCCCGGGGATGGGGAAGAGAATCAAAGGGGAAAAGGGAAGGAGGCTCATGGGTTGAGATAAGAACAATTAAATAATTTAAATAAAATTAAATAAAAAGTAATAATGATAATAGCAATAAAATAATAATAAATGATAATACATCATAATAATAATAATCTATACAAATAAGTGATGCACAGTGTAACTGCTCACCACCCGTTGACCAATGCCTGACTCATCCTGACTAGCAATCCCGAAACAGAGAAGTCCCGAAACCTAAATCCCAGAAGAGCAAGAGCTCCTAAGAGAGAGCTTCCCAATAGCCCTCATCTATATACTGAGCATGGTGTTGCGTGATGTGGAGTGTTCCATTGGCCGGTTTGGGCCTCCGTCCTAAGCATAAGTGCAAATTCTAAGCTAGGAGTTGTGGGCCCTTTGTTCCAGCCATGCTCCCTCCCAGCCTGTTGTGCTCCTGCACACCGGCAAAACAGGGGAAGCTGAAAAGTCCTTAATGTCTCAGCACCAACTGTAAACATCAATACAGTATCAACATTCTTCTCATAACAAATCTCATACTAAATCCGAAACACAGAGCTCTTCTAGTTGCTGAAAAGAAAACTAACTCTGTCCCAGCCAAAACCAGGACACATGAATTTAAAAAGTTGGCAAATTTCTATCCAAACTTGCCATCTAGTGGCATATTACAGGTTGCAGGCTATTAGAGATATTTTTTCAATGGGTACTGTATAGTTAAAGTTTATACCAAAATTAGTTTTTAAATGTTGTTTTTCCACAGTTTTTTTTTTTTAAATGGTAGCTTTTCTGTTCTTGTATGTGTAATCATTGTTTCAATGTTTTTTGTTTTAGTCATGACATGCTTCCAGAACATTCTGGAAAGGAAGTTGCAACTCTTGTGTAAAAACTACAGTTAATAACGGAGAGATAGCATATTAAAATATGTAAGGAATACGTAATAGTTGAACTTTCTAGTAAGTTGTTTATTTTTCTTCATACATCATGTTCTACATAGGTCCTTTTGCTTTCCCAGAGAGCAAGGAGATACAAGAAACGTGTCTAGCAGGTGAATAATTTGAGGAAACATTTAAACTTGTTTTAAAATGAAAGTGAGTCAGTACTACTGGAAAAGGAGATGGAGGAAAACTCTTGAAAGCTTTAGTACTCTCTAACTTCCTTCTTTTTTTCTCACTATTTGTATGAATAGCTTGTTAAGTACAGATCACTGCAGGAATATTGGATATTTCTTCCCTGAGAGAGTATTCAAATCACGCTTATCGACTGCAGGTGATTTTTGGATGATTTTCTTACACTTCCCTGTAATAAGAAATGCCATAATGAGTCAACTGATGATCAAACAAGCTCAATGTGCTGTTAGCAGTTGCCAGTAGTAAATATTTCAGCAAAAATGGAAGAATGGCAAATGCTCACCTCCTTGTTTCTGTGAGTTGACATTTCACTGATGATTCCCCCCACAAAGCTGGAGGTTGTATCTGTACCATTATGTTTAAAAACTACTGGTAGACCCAACCTTGTCAGAATTTTCTAACTAGTTTTAGAAACTGCAAGACTTTTTTTGCTTATGTGAAAGAAATAATTGGTTTCGTTCTGCGTTTTCTACGCCGTTAAGGGAAAATGTAGTTTGTTTTTTTTTGTGGTCAGTTTTTAATTCTCTAAATGTAAAGTACTAGTTTGTTTAGTTTTTTTCTTTCTGATATATTAGCTTCGATTTACCGTAGAGCTGTACTCTGTTCTGTGTGATTTTCTTGATTTCTCTTCCCCACCCCCTTTTCTCCTTTATCACTCCAGAATTTTCGTCAGGCCTATTTTCCATTATGTTGTGGACATCAAATAAAAGTTGCTCAATTTTATTATATGAATAAACAGCTTCTCTTGTCTTTGCCTACAATTCCTGAACAACCTGTGTCTTTTTGCATCATTGTTGCAATGCTGTTAATAATCCCACCAAATCTATTGTGCTGATTGGTTTCAACTTGATTATTAAGACTTTCAGATCTTCCTGTCTCCTCTCTGGGTCTTAGAATATGCC